GTAGTACTGCACGGACTAAAATTTTGAAAATTCATTTCGTTCCTCGAAGCGTTTTGTCGGAGAGCAATAGAGTTCATTAGGGAGTTTGTATGAGTACGGTTAAAAATCTTGCATTTATATGCATCGCAGACGATGTGCTTATTTTGAGCTCAGTGCATAGTATGAAGTAAGGGGACATTATTTGTAAGATTTGACAATTTCAGTTAGTAAAGTGTTACTCGCCGATCTATAAACAGAGCAAGACGAAAGGTTTCAAAATTTGGAAGGATTCCTATTCTCTCTTGTTGATTTCAAACCACCTTTTATTTCCTTCTCCACTGCAAAAAGTCAAAGTTAAAAAAACGAGCAGATGAACCAATGACATCCAACAATAAAGTTTCTAATAATTTTGGTCTATAACTGAGATTTATCTTGAAAACTATGTTACTCAGTCGGTCAGTCAGCAAATCAGTAAGTAACAAAGCAATAGATTTTGAAACTAAACAGGATTGAAGGCCGCCACCTCACCCATTTTTGGGAAAACGATCCTTTCTGAAGGCCTCATTCCACTCAGGTGTTGCTTGCCATAATTAATAGCAAATTTCTCGACGGCCTCTGCCACCTCAAAGATGGATTTTCTTAGTGTCTTAACCTCTTCCATGCTGACCTTGCCTTTTGCGACTTTCTTGAGATTTATGGTGAAATCTTCAAACACACCTACAGCCTCCTATAATTACGTAAATATTCCCAGATCATTAACTAGCCAGTCTCATATACACAATTTAACACAAAGCAGGAGGCCCCAGATGGTGTCCAGGGTATTCCTCATCAAAATAACTCTTTTAAGGTCCTGGGTTACTTTTTAAGCCTCACCATTTTCACCCTGTATGGCTTCAATGGTGGTTTATCTTAAATTTCAGATATTTACTTTTTTATGGTGTAAATAGATATATCAGGTTTAAAAGCCTTCAAGTTATGAAAATTGCATACCTGTATGGAAATCTCTCTGGTAACTTTTATTCCGGATAATTTTGACACATAATAATTTGCCTGGAATAATAATAAAAAAAAAAAACAATTGTCTGTCACATTAATGGACCGAGAAGATCTCGAAAAGTGACATGCAAAGAAACGCTAAAGAACTATTCAGAACACAAACCAAATGCGCAACTGTCCTAAATAACAATGACGATGGTGCTGTTAGCGATGGCGATGGCAATGCCGATGGCGATGGCGATGGCGATGGCGATGGCGATGGCGATGGCGATGGCGATGGCGATGGCGATGGCGATGGCGATGGCGATGGCGATGGCGATGGCGATGGCGATGGCGATGGCGATGGCGATGGCGATGGCGATGGCGATGGCGATGGCGATGGCGATGGCGATGGCGATGGCGATGGCGATGGCGATGGCGATGGCGATGGCGATGGCGATGGCGATGGCGATGGCGATGGCGATGGCGATGGCGATGGCGATGGCGATGGCGATGGCGATGGCGATGGCGATGGCGATGGCGATGGCGATGGCGATGGCGATGGCGATGGCGATGGCGATGGCGATGGCGATGGCGATGGCGATGGCGATGGCGATGGCGATGGCGATGGCGATGGCGATGGCGAAGCTGATCCTAATGTCGATGATAATAGAGATGACGATGGCGATGACAATAGAGATAGCGATGGCGATGCTGATGCCGATGCTAATGATTATAACATAATTTATAACATAAAGCTGGAAAAGTGCGAGAAATGAGATGAAACATTATAAATGTCAAGAAAGACCTACAAGAAAAAACGCAATTAACGTCATAGCGGCTCACGTGCTTACACACCGATCGGAAAATATTTACATTCTCTGTCACTGTCCCTACAGTTTAGTTCCGCCGAACGTAAGAACATTTCCATCAACCTTCAAAGTCCGATCAGAACGTTCTACACAATTGCATTACATGAACACGTGGCACTTTTCCATGCGCTTAAATTGTATTCTACCGATCAATTTTCATTTTGCCTCATTAGGCCTGACTCCATCATGTGCCATTTCCTTGTAAACAACCTGCGTAATAGATTTCGCTCACCGTGGAGTCTCTATGGCTCAGTGGTAGTGCATCGGAGCGCGGAATCCGAGGGTCTGAGGTTCGATTCCTCATGGGACTCAGAATTTTTTTCTTTGTCCCACGCTCGTGAAAAGATGGATCCATCTTTCTCTCTTCGGCATTTTAGCACTTGTTCGAACCGCACTATTCAACACCACTCAAAAAATTTCAGACGGAACTAAATGTTACTGAGAGTAGTCGTCAGATTCTTATGTTCACTGCACATTTTGCATTGCATTGAATTTAGCCCCTACAACTTTACAGTTCAAAGGATTGGATCTCGAAATAGAATACAATAAACATAAAAATTGATTCCCTCTGCGAAGAAAAAATAAGTCTCGAAGTCTTTTGCATTTGTTTTATAAAACGACAGTTGGCATGTATCTTTACCGACTGAGTCACTACCTTTTCACAAAAGATAACGCACTTCACATCATCACGTGTTGCTATCTAACAAAGCAATCGGATCGCTGATTCTTTGCAGTTGGTATTCACCACCATTTCATTCAATCGAAAGGATAAATTAACTACGTGAAAATTAGCGACAATTGAAAGTTTCACAATTGTTGTTACTCGTAATGGTAATAGTAACAGAACCATTTAAAACTTTCCTCTGCTCGCAAGGTTAAAAGTTAGACACGTATATCGTGAAAACGTTCATTGAAATTGTTTCAAACATATTTTCATTCATGCAAATGTAAGTGTAAACTTGATCCCGACTGTCAGAGGGTTTATAAAAATGATGTCGTGAGTATCGCAAACGTCACCAAAGAATGTTTTTGTTACGCCTAAGCGCTTCTGGTGTCTTTTAGTTTACTCAAAATAATGATAATAATAATAATAATAATAATAATAAGAAGAAGAAGAAGAAGAAGAATAAGAAAACAAAAAGGGAAAAAATAAAACAAAACAAAACAAACTAAAAGAAAAACTTACCCTTGGAAATCTCACAAATATAAGCGTGCCAGTTCCCCCAAGCTGTGCTACCAAACACGCCCGGTTTGCCATTACTGGACCGCTTGTACATGATGGCCTTTTCGTGTTCACCACTTGGCTCCCCTTTTCCCCATTTGTAAATAGTCAGCGGTCTTTCACTCACCCAGGTCCAATTCCCGGCTTTTTTTGTTAAACCAATACTCCATGTACTTATATAGTACTTAGTATTTCGCCTTTGAATCTCGTCATTAATGAACTTCCATTCCTCTTCGGTTTCAATGGATACTAGGTCCCCTCCTTGGTTTTGGCAGGTTTCTCTGTTAAAGAGCCATGACCATCCATTCACCGAAATTATGTACCAAGAGTTCTTAAAAGTTATGTTTGAGCATCCTACAAAATGATAAAAACGGAAACAAAAATACTAATTATAATAATGATGATAAACAAAGTGATAATAATAACAATGATTACGAGATAAAAAAAAACTATGATCACAATCACAATAAAGGAGGAAAAAATGAGCAAGAAAATGTGATTTTTTTCATTTTCTATTTTATTCCTTTTTTTTTTTAAATTTAACATCTGTAGTTTATGTTTGGTCAGTGTCAATTAATACAGTACGTCTTTCTTCACTACGGCGTCCACCATCTCTGCTTTCCTTTATGAACTTCAGCTAAAAGTATCTGTGAGTTCGTGTAATTTTAATAGTTGAATTTTTGGATATTAATTAGTTCCTTGTTGAGCTGACACCTCCCCTCACCCCGCCCCTTATTCTTCCTCCCCCATCTGAACAGACTTAAAAAACGTAAAATTAAATGTGAATGTAAGTTTTCATAAATGTGCAACTGGAGATACGCAGTTCACCGTATACAGTTGCTATGGGAAAGTTTATCGAAAAAACAAAACAGAACAAAAATTTAAAGGGCACGCGACAAACTCAAAAGATTATCTTGGTGGTGGTAATCAACATGGACATAAAAAGGTAAAGATTAACTAATTAAGGTTACTTTGTGCTTTTCTTCCGATTTGATTGCAGTTTCGAATTAAAAGTCAATCTTGTATTAAAAATAGGTTCAAAACCGTCGTGCCTCGTCCTTAAAGTGACATTTTCTTAGACTTCCCTGAAATCCTAAGGTCGTCAAACTATGACCTGAAAGCTACCCACAATATCTCTCAAGGTCACCGCTTGCACTTCTGACACGCTTTTTCCCGAAAAATTTTCCCGAAAGAACTGTATTTATTAGTTTTTTTTCTGAACGGTAACGAATCATGCAATCTTTGTGGTTCTTAATGCCGTCCGGATTTTCCTATCTCTGCCTAGCGGCACGGTAACGTTTGCTCGAGTCGCTAGCTACAACCCTAACTTCGTTGTCATTTTTCATAAATGTATTTCGTTTGCCAGCTGAGCAGTATTTTAAAGCAAATCATTTTAAAGCAAATCAAGCTGATTAATAACTTATTAATCCTCTCCTTCTCTCTCTCAAGTCACTGTGGCTGCCGGCAAAAAGAATGGTAAAATGATTTTTGGTTACAAGTTTGTCATTAGATGGGTTGACGCGCGGCCTGAAAACCGTTTGTAAGTAACCTTGACCTTCACTAGAAGTAACTCAGGAAGTTAGAACGTGAGGTGTTTGTTTAAAATTGAATTAATTAATGGAATTTTCAATCATTTAATATCTGAATTCTTTCAAACAATTTGTTCATTGAAAAACAGAAAGCGAAGTCTTCATTCTATACTTTAAATACGCTTTTGGTAAGTCTTTGCAAGTCTCCTCAAATTAGACATTTGTACCGTAAACTTCATAACAGTAAACGAAGGAATTCAACGAGAAAAAACCGCATTCAAATTCACTTTTTGACAAAAGACCAGATTTACACAAAAGATTGCACCAAATAAACGAGCAAACTCCCACAATCTCGAAACAGATTTAAATTTACTTACAATTACTTTCCATTCATTGACTGAACAGAGCTATACTTCATTCATCAATGGATAGTCGATGGAAATGCGTAATACTTTCCGTAAGATTATTGACTGTTTTTAAAGAAAAAAATTTTCGTGACAGACATTGAACTTAAGTTTGTTTGCCAAACCAGTGCCGTTGATGTTGTTGTTGCTATTGTTTTTTTGTTTTCTTTTTGGTTGTTTGTTTGTTTTTAACGTGCATGCGCTTTTGTTTCTCACGCGCTCTGTCATTGTAAATTGTGCACTCTGTCTTCAGTACCGGTACTCAAGATCTTGAGCAAACATACTTCGATGTGTTATGTTTAAAAGAACATGTATTCACTCACCGACGTCAGTGAACACGCCTTGTAACTTGTGGCAAGGGAAAATTCCGTTGGTTAGATTATCCCAATCTCAGCGCGCTCGACAAAAAATTTTTGTGTAAAATTGTGTACAATTTCGATCGCTGTTTTTTCCAACTGCAGGTGATGCAAAAAAGGACAATTTTAGAGTGATTTTTTTTTTTTGACATATGTCCCGGATTTTTTTCATGGGCATTATGTTCAACCACTAATGCGCGCTTAAACGTTCATTCGTCGCTCACACGTACAAGTTAGGTGAGCTGAGCGTATTATGTGAACAATATTTTCACTTTTAAGAAGCAAGAGAAATTTTCATGACACAAGTGCAAGACTGTAATGTTTCAGCACATAATATACTTTATGGTTGGAATGTGATCTTACCTCCGGGCATCTCGCAAATGAAGGCGTTTTTATCACCCCAAGAGATACTATTAAATAGGCCTCTGTTCTTGGATATTTCCGCTCTATCGTCTCTATCATCTAACTGAGAATCTCGCCATTTCGAAATATTCAGTTGTTCTCCACTCTCCCAAGTCCAAACTCCGCCCACCTTCCCTAAACCAATGTGCCACGCACTAGTATTCCAAGTGCCACGCTTTTGAATCTCCTGATTGATAAACTGCCATTCTTCTTCAGTTTCGATGGAGACTAAGTAACCTCCCTGGAGATAACAGACATCCTCGTTGTTATACCAATATCTTCCGCTTTTCGAAAATATGTAGGAGGAGTTTTTGAAACAGGTTGCTTGGCACTCTATAAAAAAAATAAAGGAATAAAGAAACGAAGAAAATGTATACTGATTGTAACAATAGTGATAATTCTGATGATGGCATGGAGACAAAAAAATAAATAAATAAAGGAAAAAATGTATACTGATGATAACAATAGTAATAACGATAAAGATATGGAGAAGAAAAAGAAAATTTATACCATTAATGATAAAAAACAATGGGCATCAAAACCCTCTACGTCACCGAAGGAAAAATTATAATTAGCCAAGGTTTTATAAGTGGAAATTGGGGAAATCAGGGTAATAGCACCGTTAATCTTTGACCTTTTTGTTTTGCTTTCCAACTAATGTTTTTAATCGCAAAACGATCGATGTCATTGCAGCAGGAAGTCTATAACTAATCATTTTGATAATTCAGTCGGATCCTTTATTTTCACGTCATTTTAAGATACATAAATATTAAATTGTAATTACACTTCCTCACCTGTTCCTGGCAATTCCATTATCAAATGAAGGATGACTGTAGAAGAGAAAATGGGAAAATAATTTTACTGTTATGTCGATTGTAACATTTGAAACAACAAAAGAGTTTCTTAAATTTCAAGTTAGACTAGTACTAGAGCATTTTATTCGCTACATGCACCTTAAAATCTACCCATGGCTTTTTTACCTTCCCTAAGGAGCTAACTGAGGAATTGAAAGAAAAAAGTGCAGTATTTCCGCAAGCAGCTGAACAAAACTTGTTACCTATCGGACGTCAAGATAGATAGATTAAAAAAAATACAGAATAAAAAAACAACAACCAAAAAAAAAATCAGCAAAGAACTAACAAACATATTTATCTGATAACGTTATCTTCTTTATACACGAAAACAAAATCTCGAACAGCGTTAAGGTGTTTTTAGTTTTTATTATTAATTTTTTTTTTCATCATAACGGTTCCGCTGGTTGCGCTGGTTGCGCTGGTTCTTGGTTCTAAGGTTCCGCAGTCTGCTGATATTCAAATGAATAAAGGGGTAAGTTTCTAAAGAAACAGTGGTGCTGCGTCGGTGGGAGAGTATAGCAGGTAATTTAGTGTTAACAACTGGGTTGAAAACGTAAATTAGCTAAAGCTTTTTTTTACCCTTTTCAACCCAGTTGTTAACACTAAATTACCTGCTGCTGATATTCAGTTTATTACCACCCCATGATGTTCTTGTTTGTTTTTTCTTTTTCTACACTCAGGCAATTGCGGGAGATCCATTTCGAAAACGGAACCCGCACCGGGTTTTGCGGATGGTATGTTAGGGAGTTCGAAAACCGAATTTCAAGGCAAACCGTATGGTTTAAATTCTCTATTATCGCGTAGTTACGAAGCACAGAACTGTCCCGCGTTGTCTCGGGAGACTCGCAGCAAAAACATATTTTGCGGGTAATAGTCGCCCGTACCAGACGGTATTTGAATAATCTGCTGGCCGGCAATTTGGATTGAATTATTTATTTTATTTATTTATTTTTTTAACTTTTCAATTGTATTTATTTATTTTTTTAGCTCAAAAGCGGCTCGAGCATGCTGCGACAGAACTCGTTAATGGTTCCTGACCGTGTGCCCGTCGCTTCAACCACGAGCTCTTATCCGTTTCGGTGAGTTTCTTCAACCATTCCTCATCGAGTTTCCTCGATACTTGTGCTTACAGCCAGGATTCTTTTTTAGTTTCACCATAGGAATCTTCCCTTTTTTTACCTTTCGCCATTCACAGTCTAGTTTTAAACGCAGACAATGTCACCCTGAACAAGCTTATTGACTGCAAAAATGACTCTTATCAAACGAAAAGGACTCGAATACAATTCTGCCCTTAAATATATGAAGACTTGAGGTAAAACGTTAACTGACCGAACAGACTCCAGCTAAGAATGAGAAATTCCTAGTGATATTCCCCTGTTGCTATTTTAGCGCTAATACAAGGAGTTTGATTGGTTTGCCGCCGTTACAGAAGAAGAAGCAAACTTTTTCCTTCGAAACGATCGAGCACTGTTAGCGAAAACTGAAAAATCGCAAAGGAAACGTTATCGACGCTAACACGTTTGTGACCAAGATGTTTGTAAAATAGCCTCCACCTGGTGCGAAAAATTGCACTTTATCTATTTCCTTAGAACCAATTTTGTTTCCTTGGGGTTGAAATATGACGGTAAAACAGTCCTTAAAAGATTACCTCGATCAAAGCAATTGCGGAGAAAGAAACCACAAAGAGGTGATCAAAACTTTGACGCGGTTCAAAATCGTCCCTCGCAGTTCTAATAGTAAATGAGCAACTAAGTAACATTCTTGGAGAGATGCAAATATTACGGCCTCTTACCTTTTTTTTTCTCTTCAATTTCTATGGTGTTCCCTTACCTTTGAGGATTACTTTGTCGTTTCTTTTTTATTATTATCATTACAATCATTCAGAGGTCAAATATAAATTTATCATATATTTCTAATTTTAAAAATGTTTTGGTCCCCGGATAAGGATAACTGAGATAATTTTAGGAAACATGCGTACAAGTGCACTTTTGAGGCAATCAAGTTATTGTTTGTTTTAATATATCTGACGAGAAAAAACGAAAAAGTCTATAATTCAGTCGAAGAGAAAATAAATAAAATGACAAAATGACATATTAATAATAAGAAGAATAAAATTTGGATGGAAAATACGAATTGCAAATCAATGTAGCCCAAGAGTACACAAAACACAAAAGCCAGTCCAAAATATGATCAATGAGTTAATACCACAAGACTTTTTTTCGCTTTAGTGGGGTGGAATTAATTCCACGGAAGTGATATAAGTACAAACCGATATTACAAAATGTTAAGAAAAAGGGTTACTGAACACAAATTGCACCGCCGGGTTTAATTTTATCACAGTTTTTCCTTTTTTTTTTTAAATTGTTTTAGCAGGACTGGAACGACTGATGCTTCATCGAACGACGAAACTCCAGTTAGCCAAAGATGGTAAGAACAAAGCTTTCAGTTCCTTTGATCTTTATGATCACGCGGACCGCACTTCATTTTCAAAACTTCGTAATTGTTTCGTACTGACTCATTGCTTTCAAATCATTTCGAATTGTGTCGTGGCAAAAACTGTATAAAAAAAAAAAATGTGCAAACTCCGCATTCAGCCAGTTGTTTTATGTGATAAAACTCAAGAGCGGACGTTGTCGAGTTCAATCGATTTGTTTTTAGAGAGATGAATACTTGCCACTTGACTTGCGTCTCTCTGGTTTGAAGCGGCTGAGGGTTGCATGATGCCCCGATACCGACATATTGATATCCTATCATTTATTCCTTAATTCATTTTTTAATTCATTGTCTTCTTTGTTTCTAAAGCATAACCAAGAGAAGTAGTAAAGCTTGTACTTACTCAGCGCACAACGTAAAGACAGGGCTGTGGACATTTTGCTGGATTGAATCCCTCTCATCGCACCACCCATCAACTTACTCAATCAAAAGTTGCCGTTAGTGTATGTCGGCACCCTTATAATGGTCCGTGACTTGGTAAAATCACAAGAGCAGCCGATTTTAGTCAACGTTTTTTAAACTATTTTATAGGACGTGAGTGTAATAAACATCACATTCGACCGCTTTTGCTGACATAAGCCGCGAGAGTTCTATTTTTCCACTCGTAAACGGACCAATAAGACTAAAAGCTCTTTACACCAGATGCAGAATGCTGTTTTACTTAACAGATGCAAGTGATTCACGACACGAAAATAGCTTCATCAAGCTAAAGTTTTCTTAACGTGGATATGAAAATGGGTGTTTGAAAAAATTGTAAACAACTCAAAACTAATGAGGATCCACTTTTATAGGTAGTCGTTATTTGGGAAAAAATATTATGTCCACCGGAAACTAGCGTAAATATGCCATCTGTTCATCTACGTGCACCCGAACAGATATAACTGTCATCGATCCATCAGAAGATAAGAGTGTGTGTTTTAGGCCCGCATAATATTGACTTCGAAGGCAGGAATGATTCAGTAATATGTTCGGGCAAGTGTAAGAATGCAAATGAACTACAGAATTTCTCAGGTTGAAAAATACATATAAATATATATTCTCCGTTTAGTTAGATCACCTGCTCGATGTGAGTTTTACTGGGTCTTTGAAGTTGATCATCATCCGTTAACGGATCAGAAAACGAAGTGCGCTCGGCGGGAAATAGTTGAGCTATAAACCTGCATTATTTCCTTTCTCTCACTGCATAACTTCTCCTTTAGTGCACATTGTGTAATGACTGAGTTCATATCTTTGCAGAATGATTACGCTAAATTGCCAAAGAAAAACCCTGCCTATTTTCTCAGCTACATGCGCGTGTGCTGAACACTAAATTCATATGTAAAGAGCGCTCGGCAAGCGCATGACGGCCTTAGAAAATTTACGTAGCGCGTGGTTCAACAAAAAAAATTGGAATTTAAGCTAATGTCAGATATTAAATTACATTCTGCCCAATACAGGAAATTTTGATCGCAACATAATTCAACACGGAAGGAAAGGGAACCTTTAACAGGACTAAGTGATCCTGCGCGAGCTTTATTTTCAAGATCCCGATAAGCAAATCGGCTGTGCAATTTCCCTCCCTTCCGTTGCTTTTATTTCAACGATAAAGTGCTCAACCCTCTTCTTCCTGCGGACAAGATGTGTTAGGTGTGACGTAATTTGCCACTTTTGATGATCTATATATCTACACAGATGTTCTTATGATAGACAAGAAGTGGGGCAAGAATTGCGAAAAAAAAAAAAGGAAAACACGCTATTATAGTCGTTATTAAATAAAATTTGAACAAATTCCAACATTTCCAGCGATTATCTGGATCTGATATGTTGGCTCTGAGATATTATCTACTATGTAAAACTTAACTCAATAACATCGAGGATCAAAACACGCTAATTGCAGCTGTGGAAAAACCAATCAATTACATCGGAGCATCCTGCTTTATGACAACACCCGAACTAGTCGACCTTATCACCTGATGAAGACCAACAGAATGCAGCTGAAACGTTGCGATTCACATCATAAGTTACCACATCGTGGAACAAACGATACTACTTTACTATAATGAAAATCACTTTTTTAACCTGAAGTTCTGTTAACGTGAAAATAATAATGAATTGATAAATCATGTTTTTAAATAATGAAAACTTAATCAGGGATCTCGTTTAACGATAGTCGCTTTTAGGAATTAACAATTTTCCCAGCGGGAACTATTGCGGGTATCCCATATGTAAGTCTGCACGAAATCATGTTTCCATCAAACACAGAAACAAACAAATCGACGGGAACTTGCAGCTGAAGTGAAACTGCACACGTGATGTTATAGATGCATGGTCGTAGGTGAATAGAGTTTATACCATTGTAACTCCTCAGGAATAAGATAGGACATGCACCCGCACTATGTTAAAATAGTGTTTGTACAATGCAACTGATCGTATTAAACATATTCATAAAGTGATTACTCGTTAGAGCACTTGATAGATGCGCATTAAAAATGCTTATGTTTCTGATTGAAAAAAAAATCAATCTTTCATGAATAACGTTTATATTGACTCGACAAAGTCATTCACACTAAAGTTGTTGAGCATTTTTGACAATTTTTCATCATGATGTACTTAGTCTGATTCCTGTTAGCACGCGCTCAAGGAAGCGAGACTATCTTCCCAAGTTTGTATACGCTAAAAATCACACCAATACTTCCCCACAAGAGGATAATAACAATTTGTAGTTAAAGTGACGAGTATCTTGTTAAAAGGATGGGGTTTGCAGCTTGTGTTGGTTTGAGTCAGAACCAGCTGTTTATGGCTGATTAAGGTGGGAAAATCTACTGTCATTCACGATACTGACATCGTGTCTTTCCATAAGAATTAGTTATTTTGGTCTTTTGCACCCGCTTAAGACTGTAGCAAAGCAAAAAAAAAAAAAAAAAAAGAATTGAAGCAATTTTGTAAAAAAACATTGATCAAACTGACCTTAATCAATTTTTACAGCATGGTGCAAGAGCGTCATTATCGTGCCAAGTAAAATGCATAGCCTAAGGTTTAAAATATTATGTGACACGTCAACGGGGAGTATTAAAATTTATCTTTCGATTCAATACGTATGCTAATTATCGCCTTTTATTCTTCCTCAGCCATTTAATAAAACGATTTTATAAGCAATGAAAAAAACGTCTTCTTTAAAACGGTATCGACTCTCTGGTGTCTATTGCCAGATCCTTCTTTCCATTCCACGCATCAAACTTTCACCATTGAAGACTTTATTTCTTGTTAACATAGCATCATCGAAACGCAAGGGAGGTTGGGAGAATTCATAAAATATTTCATCTTGATATTCCAAGCAACCTGTGACGTGTGAACGCGCTGGCCACATCACGGAGTTTATACATACCTCGCCGGACTTTCTAAATCGAACCAAGAGAAAAGTACCAAAAAAGCTATGGCAGAAGAAAAAAACTAAGCCTGCCAGTTATCTCTCATTTGAGCAGCAGCCCGAGCGAGTACGCGAAAGGTCTCCAAGGGGTCTCTCATACTCGCGCCAGAACGCTCACGAACATCTCGCTCGTTCCCAACGCTTGCCGGCTTAAGACCTGCGGGCTGCGCCCATCAGTGCCGAAGAAATAATGAGTAATAATGAGCAATAATGAGCCTACATACCTCAACAATTGACGGAAGCCCAGTTTTAATCAATCCATAAATTTTTTTCCTCTTTAGTATACACTAATCGTAAAAGTTATTTATTCAGTCAATGAAATTATAGTGGTCGAAGACTTTAGAGGGGAGATCTTTTAAGAGGAAAACAACAAAAATGAAATTCTTTCCTTTTTTCCTATGGTTGGGTCAAAGAGAGATAAAAATCAATGTCAGCAAATGTATTTTTCAACAGTTAGGTCAAAATAGGAGTGAAGCTAAAAAGCCTCATGATTTATTTTGTCTTACAAAAAATCATTTAGGACGGTTGAAAAATGTTTCCCTGCCAAAATAATGCCAAGTGTTGGAGACCATTATTATCAACACCTTACTCTTCTGTTTTGAGTTGTATATTTATGTCTTCATACACAGAGAAAAAGCATATATAACAAGATGCTGAACGTGGCAACCATTTCTCGACGCGAAATTTATTGGTTTTTTTTTTAGGACGTGATTTATGATTTATGATTTAAGGACGGTTCAACGAGAGGTGCAGCCGCTTTTCCGTTTTCTACTTCACCAAGATATATTTGTGTTTTCCAAGCTGATCAAGCGTTCTAGGTAAAGGGAAAATATTGAAAAGCCGTGATTCGCTCAGATTTTCGTGCTGTTGCAAAGTCTTTTAGCGGTTTCCTAGTTTCCAATCTCTGCGCGGCGTTAGCATTTTGATATAATTTTCCGCACCATGTAGTCGAATTTTTTTTCCCAAGGAGTCTCAATGTCGTTTCATTCACGTATCCTAACAGCCAGGTGTGTTCTTGTTGTCCTTTTATCTTTCGAAATTCATTTACCTTATTTGTTATCATTGTAAATTACTGCCATTTTGGTAATTTATTCACGTATTTCAGAACCGCTGCTTAAGTCTATCGTTGCCCTAACACAGAAGTTTTTGTGTAGATATGTGCTTAACGTTAGGGCCCTAAGACTGACCCCAAACCGGTCAGTTTTCATGGCAATCAATGATGCTACTAGTCGTTTTCGCAACATTTGCGATTCGAAAAAGTAACCCTTATTTCAGAGATTTAATAAAAAAACTTCATTGTTCGGATAAAACAGTTTCACAATAGACGTAATCCGTCATTTATTACTTTATTGATTTATCTATTAATCCATTAAGATCTTTATTAGCTTAAAGTTTTATCTACAGCTGTTTTTATTACAATAACAAAAAAGCTATTTGACAAGTAACCCTGTGTTTACTCCGAATATCAAAAAGGGAGACTGCGTCGTCGTTCAATAATAGCAAACATTTGGCACAGAGGATTTCAAAATAACGAAACAAATAAATAACTGATGATCTAAAACTGAAACGATTGCGAGAGTCAAGTAAAATGCTGTTCACGGAAAACTACGACCTAAAAGCGCATGAAACGAGGTCACAGCACATTCAAACTAGCCTTAAACATCTTTAAAATACAATCATGAACATTACAATGAGCTCGTAACTCGAAGCGAATAGAACGACCTGACATATCAAACCTGACGATCGTATCAAACATTCGATAATTAGTTTCAGCCCGCTCAGTCCAGTTATTTAAATTTTATTTCAGTTCAAATTCATCGCAAGACTGCAATTCGGCCGCCCCTATATCTTCGACAGCACTTGGATTAGTTTGCGAGCCCTTCATTGCGGAGTTTTTAGTATATACAGATGGAAAAACAGTGTTCAGCTTTCGTTTGAATCGCTCTTGAATCTGAGGGTGGAAAAGCGGAAAAATTTTAACCGCACATAATTAAGAAAAATTTGTAAAAAATTAAAAAAAAAGATAAAATGTTTTTCAAAGTTCATCTCACCTGGGTGTTTCGCACACAATGCAGCACGAAAATCAGGAAGCCCTAAAACAAAAAAAAGGGTTGAGAATCATTTTTCTCTTTTGTAATGTATGAAGGGTTAAGGGTCATGTTGGGTTTCTGGAACGAATTAAGCTGAATTTTTACCCCATTTAAACCAGAAAAAAAGATGATTAGTGGGACCAAGTTAAACTAATTGGAAATCAGCAACAGCGAGCTAAAAATTATTTTTTATGGTTTCCAGGTGATCACTAACTTGTATTTTCAACGTGCTAAACTGGACGCACACAAAAGTTACCTTAAGCCGCTTCTATGATAAAACAGAACAAAAACAAACAAACAAACAAACAGACAGACAGACAGACAAAAAAGTTTAAGTAAGTTTGGGCTTTAGTGTGAATGTGGTATTAGTATTAAAACTTGTGTCAACTGTAAGAGTGACGTAAAAAGTGGCAAGAACTTTTATGTTATGAACATACAAAGTAATCGGTTATAACTTATTTGCCCTTAGGACCAAATTGATCTCGCCACAACTAAAATGTCTACAACCATGCCAATAGAGAGATTTCTACTTTCTAGCGTGATTAATTTAATCTCATGAATCACGAGTCTAAGCTAACCTGCGTAGAGTTGAGGATGGTAAAAATGTAAGTGAAAACTTTGTGCAATGGTGCCAGGAAACCAAACAACCACGAAACGCCCAGCAGGGGAATCATCACCACGCCCGCTTTAACGCCAAGTCTAAAGGATGAGAACAATTACAACGGGGCATGAGAGTTAGACATTTTACTTTTTTTTCCCCAAATTTTATCACTATAAGACCACCCACTGATTCAGATTAATAGGGAAGTTAAGCGAGTATCATGGAACAAGGCAATACTATGAAATGTAATGTGACTGGCCTCGAAGGATTCAGTGGATTTTCTTTCCCCTCGACGTTCAATGATCCCTTGGGAAGAACTAGAAAACTCCATGAGAAGAGTCATTTAAGTTTGGAAAAATAACAATGCAATTATTTAAACTCACATTGCTAAAACAAGTCAAGTCATACCTTATTTGCCGAGCATAGTTGTCTTCCGCTAATGGTTCTACGAGTGTAGTTATCTCCTTTATGACTCGTACAAGTATTAAAATGTTGAGCTGAATAAAAATTTAAAAAATAATAATAATGATTATAATTTTAAAAAAATTAGACAATAGTCTTCGATAAAAAGAAACATGATAATCAATTCGAAAATATGAATAAAAAAATCATATGACGTCAATTAGTCATAAACTTACTGATTCGATAAACGCCACGAATGCCACGAAAATCCAGATTGGCTTATTAGTTGAAGACAGCCAGCAACTTGAGACAAGGAAAAAAAATAAAAGAAAAATTGTCACCATAACTGAAATATAGTGGAAACAAGAAAATATCAAATGTTTTTTCTTACTATTTATCACTGGTAAAGCTTTTCATCCCTTCTTTTCCAGCAGCAATGCTCAGTGAAATGGCTACCATGACGACAGGAAGACCTACAAATAGAGAGAACGAAGAATGATGTAAATGTCGGGGAATAATATACCAAATATGGCAAAAAAATAGTTATAAATACCCCATGATATGACGTGGTACATGTGCATCTTAGTGTTGATGTTGTAAACCTTTACAACAAACAGGTAGAGATAAATTCCTTCAACCAGCATCCAACAGAAAGCGGCCATCAGAAAATACTGCATAAGAGCTGCTGCTGTGATACAAGCAGCCTACAAAAGAGAAAGAAAGAACATGATCCTGGCTGTGAAAAATCTGAAGTGTTAAATAACAATTTCTTCCATGATATGCAACTTACCATGTTTTCTGTGGCGTTTATCCCGGCAAGAAATATTATTTGTCCAGCTCCGAGGGACACAGAAAGACTTAAACGTATTTGTGATAGAGGTTCACGAACATCTCTGATGAAGTAAAAAGCAAGACAAATCAGTGATAGTTATCAAAGGCAAACGTAACTGAAAGTCTAGAGAAGAAAAGAATAAACACTGACTAGTAAATATATGAATAAGTAACTTAAATATTCAGCATGCAAAGTATAAGGGAGATTGGAAGGAACACTACTGCTATTTCTGAGTTACACTGAGTTGCAGTCTGTCGCAAATTAAGGGGGATTGAGAACAGATGAACAGATGGTTAATAATAACGATTGGCACTCGTCCCATAACTGCACGGATTTCGGTCATTGACTATTTAATCCAGTAAGCACAATAGTCTTTCAAATCGTAGTTGCCAAAAGTGATTTTTAAAATCTAGTTTTGCACACCCTGGCCAACTTTATGAAATCAGCATCAAAGTCATAAGTTATTGTTTGGTAACAGTACTTACGTGAGGAAAGAATAAAGGACGATTGTCAAAAGCATCCCGATGACGGAAAGACTTAACCCTACGTACGTGATAGTCTCCAATATCGTTCCGTCCTTCTTGGAGAGCTTTATCAAAAATTGGAAACAAAAAATTGATTATTGAACCTAACGGTGGAAGTACGTTAAAAAAATATCGATGATTAAAAAAAAAAAAAAAAACCTTTGTGCCACCACTGTCAAAATCAACTAGGACAGCAAAGTAAGTCAAATGATTGCATCTACAGACTGTTTCTTCTGAGTTACTCTTCGCTGTATCTACATGACAACCATCCTCTGAGTACCCGTCTGGACTGAAAAAGTAAATGAATGACGAATAAAAAAAATGTGAGATAAGCGATTAGGGTTTGAAACCAGCAGAGTGTCGAAAGGTTCATTCTGGAAGCAGGTCTAGTTTAATTTTTGAAATACATTTAGACTCTCAAGATGCCCTCTCATCCCATCGTTTATAGGAAAAGAATAATAAACATTGATCTCATATGGAAATTTCTGGAAGCGACAGACAAACTGATACTAAATTGAAGGTCATAACTTAATTTAAATGTTAAAGAATAAATTAATTTCAAAACAAATTAGTTAATGTGATATTATATGTTTTTACCTCTTGCTGAAGCCACTCCAAAACATGCAATGCTTTTTTTCCTCAACGACCTAGAAATAAATTTCATTTCGTTTGAATTGACTCAACACAATATAGAAGGACTGAAGTTATTTTTCAGTCTTCTAGGAATTAAGTACCTTTAGGTTTCTGAACTTCAAGATGAGATCTTGTAAAATTTCCGGTTTAGGATCCATAGCCGCGGTCGTTATCCTGGTGTTGACATACCTGTTTAGAAAGTTATACTCTTCAAATCACCATGGCCGTTATGCTATCTGTCTTGAAAACCAAACTGTTAAACCGTATTTTTTATGAAGAAAAAGGTTCTGTATAATTTTTTATCTCCACTATTTAACGGTAAAAAAGGAATGTTTTAGCCCTATGTGCGATTTAGAGGTTGACAAATAGCCAAAACATTTGCAAATTTTTTTTAGATGTTGTAGAAATTATTGACTGAGGACTTCGCCACATTTAGCTATTAAAATTATGATAGTCAAACGTCGCAGGAAACAGGAAATGGCACTGCTTTCTAATTTCCTTTAAGATGACTGGCATCAAGGTTAAGCGTCATGCCTTCGGTTACACATTGAGTTTCCTGCATATTTAGTGGCTGTGTTTTTTTTTTATGGCTCAGCATAGCATGCAACTCAACTCACGCACATTAAGCATGAACCAATTCTCTAATATATTACGTATTAAGGTCACCTTGAATTGTGAGTTTCATTCCCAATGGACTGCTTAGTCAGCAGCAATTCATGGAGATCTTTGTACAAACATCCTACAACCACGGACCCTGAGCAAACAAATAAACAAAAAAGACATACAAACCGCGGAGAGGCTTTGGTGTAACCCCATACTTATTCAAAACAAAGCCTTAGCCCCAAATATAATCTTATTTTTCCACCACATCGTTCCAAAAGAAAAGAAAAGAAAAGAAAAACCAGAACACATGATTCGCTTCTTATAGCCCACAACATCTGCCAGCTATATAATAAATGGGGTTATTCAAAAATACAACCCAATATGTTTTTCGAACACCGAAACGTAAGTAGAATCTTAAGATCAAAGCTATTTATTTGACCCCCCAAAACAAGTATTTTACCTAGCCAACTATTACTTTATGCTGGACACTGCATCATTACAACATTTATTATTCTTCCTCAGATTCTTCTCCCAGACTTTACTGGAATATTTCAATCAAGCTGCCTCTTTTTGATTATTTTTTTACTTCTCCCAGACTTTAATAAAATATTTCAATCAAGATGCCCTTTTTTGGTCATTTTTTTACTTCTTGAGACCTAAAACATAACTATACCGACAAATTTTACGTGTCTATTAGCCTTTTTTCAGATATTTCACCAAACGCACTTTGATAAGGGAAAAAGCAATTTCAAAGTCAAAATGCGAAAGACTTCGTAGAAGCACTACAGAAATGAAGCATTAATCGGTAGCAAAATGGCATTGCACAATTTTGAGATTAAATGGTGTCTACCATTCTTGGCAAAGTTTGCAGAGGAAATGTTAATGCTGGTTTGCCATTCTTCTTCCTCGAGAAGGAAGTTATTCGGATCATTCTGGTAGCCAATCTTCATACGTACAACTGTCGGAGGAAGGAAAAGATAAGACGGAAATGTAATAAACAATGACTGTAAAAAGTAGATTCTGGAGATTTCTAGAATGGCTTGTTATTGTGACATGGATGCTCCAGCCTTCTGATGACTTAGCATGGAACGTTCCAGAACTTTCTATTAGGTTATATGTAATCATGATTTAATTCTACCAGACTAGCTGAATTGTAAGCTTCTGAAAAGTTCTACAATACGTTGTAGATTTATATGTAGTCATTTAAGAGAAGTAGCTGTTGTTTCCGGTCGTGATTGTCTGTCTGGAAAACTATACTGAGAGAGAGCTATTATGATTTAGTTTAAAGATGACACATTTCAGGAGGGTTTGGAGGAAACATCTATTTTTTTGTCAGTGGCATCAAAGTTATAATCTGTAAAAGGTTAAGGTAAGATAGGGTCGCTTAGCTTCTTAGTAATAATTATTACACGTTGGTTGATAAAGTAGTTGGGTTTGTAGGAGTGTAGTATTACTTCTGTTGAATGAATTACACCGTTACAAAGTAACTGCCGTTTTAGAATTTTATAGCATATTTGAATATACATGCGAAGTCTAAAAAATGAGCCACACTCAGACATGGTTTCATGCTGCCATGGTTTAAAGATTTGATTAATGTAACCGAGAAGTTTCAATTCAGAGACCCAACGTTTCGACCACTCCTGCCTAATGCCTTCGTCAGGGGTGATCTAAACGCTGCAACAAGAAGTCCTTTTATACTAATTAGCTTCCCTTTTTTTTCTGACAAGGTATAAATAGGCGTCAGGAAGTAAGCCGCCGTCATCACGATTTAAAGGAGCGTGGACGGAGTTGATGTGCCAGGTTTCCAAACAAAGGTGCTGGTGGTAACGCCACACTATTGTCTTAAAGCGATTCAGTTTTATTTGACAAAGGTGAAATGTAATATTCTAAAGACGTCATAAAAATGTCGGAATTTTTTTTCACATCCAAATAGAAAAAAAAAGGATTTACAAATTTCTATCTACATCTATTTATATCAATACAAAAGAAAGGAGACTTAAGGATTTGAAGCGCGTGAAATTATTTCCGAGCGTCCTTTGAGAAGTAACGCGCATAGCTTATTTCTTCAAGCCAGGCTGCAGGTTAGCCATTATTTTAGTTAGCCCTTCGTCAATCGCTATGACGAAGGGCTAACACTCGAAACGCCAATTCTTTACGGAGGCCAGTTTGCGTTACCAGTTCAGTAAATAATACTTAATTACCCTGTTATGCTCTCCCAACAACGCAGCACCACACTTTCTTTAGAAACTTACCCCCCTTATTCATTATTTTAGACAGCCAGGTGGTCTTTTGTTGGTCATTATTTATTTAATCAACAAAGTTTCACAAATCTGAAAAGACGACATTTGACTCACCCATTCTACTGTCAGTCATCTTCTTTAACAGTTTCGTCCTATTCAGGTGGTACCTGCTGTAGTTGAGAACAAATTTCTCGAATGCGACTGCTACCTTAAAGATGGCTGCTGTTCCTTTCTTAACTTCTTCTTCACCAAGTTGGCCCTTGAAAGGTTTTGTTATCTTCTGATACTGATTGGTGAAGTCGTTAAACAAACGCATTGCCCCCTGTAACGTTATGAAATACTCTTTATTCCTGTCACATTACCTTCAGATATTTTTAATGTCTGATAATGATGTCAAATCAGTAAAAATTGAATTTCCACACTAAGACAGTCGGCGGAGGTAAACAGGCTTCTAATAAGAAATAATCCTTCTCGTATGAACAAAAACGAAAATTTGAGTTAAAATTTCTGACATATCCCATAAAATAACCAAAACATAAAAATAAAGGCAAGAACAGCTTCAAACAACAACAAAAAAGAAGTGAAAAGACTTTTGGGCACCATAAGTTACAGATCTGCTTTTATATCAAAGTAGACTATGCGCCTGCACCAGATTCTCATAGTGCTCTTAAAACGTTCTGTTCTCGATTTTAAGTCAAAGCTTTGACCGCTTTCGCGTTTATCTAAAGATAGTCACTTTCAAGATAATGCGCAAGCTATACAAAGCAATTTAGTTAAACGATTGATAACTAAAATTTAAGCAAAGGTATACCTTCAGTGAACTTTCTCTCTTGAGTTCTATCGCACCAAGTTTAGAAACATATTCAATTGCCTAGGAAAAGAAAACGATGTCAATGAACGCTTTATTTAATGGAAATAATGAATGTAAGTATTTAGAGAAATTGCAGTACATACCAGCCTCTCAATTGTCACTGGCGGAGAAGTCAAATTTGGAGACGACGATGACGAAGACGACGATGATGACAATGACACTAACAATGGCCTTGATGTCGAAAGTGACGATGACGCTAACAATGACGATGACAACGACGACAACGATAACGTTGGTAATAGTGACGGAAATGAGTGTGATGTTGATGAGTGTGATGATGATAATGGTGACTGTAAACGTGACGATGACGACAGTGATCTTGATGATGGCAATAATGGCGGCAACGACGACGATGATGATGATACTAACAATAGCCTTGATGTCGAAGATGGCAATAATACTAACAATGACGATGACAACGACGATAACGATGACGGTGGTAATAGTGATGGAAATGGTGACCGAAAACGTGACGATGACGACGGTGAGCTTGGTGATGGCAATAATGGCAGCGAACACGACGGGACAGGGTAGCTATCTTGGTCAAGTCTGGCAAATCCTGGCAAAGTAAAATTTGTGAGAAAAAGATAACATTAGCGATAAACACGGGACGAATGATACGATAATTTCTCCAAATCAAATGACAGATTAATCAGTTCTTTACTAAGCAAACCTTACTGATCAGAATTGCGTTCCTTTTAAATGTTTCTTTATTGGGACGAGAGAGAGACAACCATAAATTGTTTAATGGTACTGCCGAGAATTTCAATAAATTAACTTAAAGCACTGAAATGGGTCGTCACGTACACTTCAAATTTGATCTTGCCGAGACCGCCATAAGTTTACTAAACCAAAGAAAATCCCAAGGAGAGGGAGACTGATTCAATTCAAAGTTTTTATTACTTTGGACGTAAATTGTGATTTGAATACACTTCACTGTGCCACTAGTTAAACTAGTTGATTTTCCAAATTTTAGATCCTGCAACACTCAACAGTCTTACTGCTGTTCGCTCGCACTGATTACCAGTGCAAAATAATTTTTAGCCAGCAAATTACGCTAGAGCGGGCATTTTTCTTGGCTTCTTACTTTTTTTTCTTTCGCTGCAAGAATGCCACCATGTTAGTGTTATCCGATTTCACAAAAAAATCGAAATGCAAATTCGCTCTTTAAAAGGAAAACATATGACATAATACTTTACTCTCTGAATAAACAAAATTTAAGAGAGATGCAGAAAAATACAATATATCTGGCGCAGTTCACGTATTGAACTCATCTGTAATTCTCATTTTTACTATTTCATTTAATTATTATTATCATTATTTTTATCATTACTTCAGGAAATTAGATAGTGCACGGGCAGGAGCAGTTATTCCTGAATAAACTCCAACTCTTACGTTGAGACAGGTAACGGAAAATGTCTCCACGTTTTTTAAAGTCTGTCGAGATGATTCTATGACAAAAATATATTTTTTATTCCTTTTTTTAAGGGGGGGGGGTTGCCTAGTAGATGGCTCCTTTGGGATTAGTTTCTGAAGTATAGTTACGATGGATTTTCCTGCCCAATTTAGAAACTTATGGCGAGAAGAATTACGATGAAAACTTTCTCTGTTTAACTATGTCAACTTGATGAATCAACAATGCGATAAAGGCTAAAAATTTAGATGGGAAAGAAAGGATGGAGATTAATATTCCATTTTTCTTTTTGATTTTCAAGGGGTCTTAAATCGTGATGTTTTTTAAAGGTAGTTTAGATACGATTTCTCTTATGCATGCGTTATCTTAGTCATTCCAGAGAATCGATATCTTTAATCTTATTCACCGGGCTGAAAATAAACCTTCTTTATTTACATTGCCGCGTAAGAGTTACACCTCAAAACTAATTAAGTTCGATTAAGCTTATACCTAACAAGCGTTATCTATAGTTCAGTAATAATTATATACCTGCTTCTAAAAGTATGCCCTCGTTTTACAGGAACAAGAAAATTTAAAAGATGCTATCGCTATCTGCTGCCGTATTTTCCCGCGAGTGCCTTTGGGAGAGCAACAAGGTCGAATCGTGCTCGAGAACTCTGAAGAAGTTATTCTTTTTGGAGTATGCTTGTGATACTAATAAACTGAACAAAATTTTATGATTTAGAAAGAACTTTGGTACTCACTCAATAAAGTTACTGAAAATAGGACGATTCCCCAAATCTGACAAGCTTTCGCTAACATTTCTCTTTTCTGTTTGGGTTACGTTTCTCTTAGCTTTACACTCAACCAGTTCTGATCTTTTTTCCCCAAATTTTTATGAGCAGAATATCAGTTTAAAATTCCTTCTGGCAGTATCAGGTTGGTAGCAATTCCCGTTTGGAAAAATATTTTTCCAGATCAGTCTCATGGCAAAAGAACAAGCTTCCAGCGTGTGTTGTTTTGAACAAAATCAGCGTTCTGTTGCTAATTTATTACACAGGAAGTTGAATGTCATGTAAATTTTTGACGTCTTGTCTCCGTTCAAATTTAATCTAAAGAACTCAGACTTTGCACATATTTAAAACAAGCACAGCAAAATTATCGATTAACATCGTAACAAATTGCTTCACTACATTCCTTATTATTCTTTTAAAAGAATAGAGTGGACTAAAATGTTAAATAGTTATATAGAGTCAAGCTCAAGAGAGTAAATTTTTGGTATCGATTGCAAATTTTCATTCTTGCGGTCGACCATTAGCCACTGGGAATCTTTGTTTATTTAGCTATTTAAGAAACCATCTCGGTGATTTAAGAGCAGTAGCATAACACAAGCTAACACCGAACAAATATGGTTTTACTTCAAGGAAGTTTCTAATTTCAATCGATTCGCAAAGCTCAAATGACTGTGCTACCATACTTTACCTTTTTACGACGCTCTTCTCCATGAGTAGTTAGGTATACTGTTTGTATTGTATTTTTCTTTTGGATACATTAGTCTGGAATTCCGAGGTATGCCGAGCAGACCAATTGGGAAATACCACTAAGACATACAAAATGGGCGAGTAATCAATACTATCTCAGGGACATTTAGATTTTAAACCCACCTATTCGTTTTCGCGCGGTTTTCTTAGCTAGTTTCTTCACGTTATGCAAAACAACAGGTCGGTTATCCGGAAATTATCCCCGTCTGCCTCGATGATTGTCCCAAGCTTAGATTAATAATGAAATAAGCTGGTGAAAAAGAGCCAACTCTTTGAGTTTCACCTTTTTACATGGAGAAAAATCAAAATTTCTCTGTTTTGTAATATCCAGTGATAGTAAACTTTAAAAGCCGATTTCAAACGCTGGTCAGGACTGTAAAAAAAGTCAACACAATATGCTATCGACGCGGAATATGAAAAATTATGAGGGGAATTGTTCACATCTTCCCTCGAAGCTTTACCTTTGTGCCAAATGTTCCCTTTTTGGACAGTCTCTAAGCGGCGACAATCATTGGACTGAGGCGATTTATTTACAAATCAGTGATGTATCAAAAATGTGTATCCCGCCAAAGAACGACGAATCTCGTAGGTTCCTCGATATATTGTTGTACCTATATCTCTCTAGATGGAGATATCCTTAAGATAATCGCCAGATAGCTCTGAAATCTCATCTATCTTTTTTCTAACGTTACGAGATGAGAAATGAGACATAGACACATAGGATGTCTACTTCCCCCACCCCACCCCCTCCTAATTTATCTGTAAAAGAAAGCGCTATATTCGAAAGTCTTCATTTACATTACTTCTGCACAGTACTGTAAATTGCACCTGTCTGCAATTCGTATCACACTAAGGTGATAAATTATTTTTTGTTTATATTATGTTAAAAAATGCATTTTAAGATGTTCAATAATATGATGATAACATGATAAGGTACAGATCAGAAGGGAAGATTTTGAAGAAAAAAAAGGGAATAAGGAAACACAAGGATTAAATTACAGAAATCTTGCATAAAGAAAGAAACCGATGTGTGAAAGCTTTCCCGAAAGGGTAAATGTTACGAGAAGGACTTTGAGATAAATTTAATGAAAATGTCAAAGCAAATCAAAAGAAACATCAAAACTTCACCGAAAAAAATTAACATTTTAGGGGGAGAAAAAATAGAGGAGAAAAAAGAAAAAAAAAACATACGCCTCTTACAATTTGTCGCTGGTATAACCCTGTATCTCTTGTTTTCCAGCAGCGATAGACAGTGAAATGGCCACCATAACTAATGGAAAACCTATCAGGAAATGACAAACCAATCAAGGCGACTCAAAAATTAAAATTAAATTAGCCAAAAATAAAACTCACAGTATATTGTAAGTTCAGCTGTATAAGCAAAATACCCCATGACATGACGTGATATATGCGCATCTTGTCGTTGATGTTATAAACTTTTACAACAAACAGGTAGAGATAAATTCCCTCGACCAGCATCCAACAGAAAGCGGCCATCAGAAAATACTGCATAATAGCTGCTACTATGACACAGACAGCCTGCACAGATACGTAAAGAAAACAGCAGAATCTTTGTCATTTCAATGCTTTGTTCGATCATAATATCTTTAATTTCATTTAAATAATGTGAAAAACCACCTACCTTGATCTCTGTGGCATTTATACCAGCGAAAAAACATATTTGTCCAGCTCCTAAAGCCACAGCAAGACTTACGCGTATTTGAGACAGAGGTTGACGAAGATCTCTGTTAAAACCAAGATATATACAGCGACAACAACAACAACACACACACACAAAACAAAACAAAACAAAACAAAAAAACAAAAGCAAAAAGCATGAGTGAAAGCGAGAGACAGTAGATAGGCAGATGAACTTGGACAGTCACGAGTGATGTCCAAAACATGGGGTATGGATTTAGTTTCTAATTAGCACCCAGACATTTTCGTTATTATTATTAATTTTTTTGGGGGGGGGGCGAAGGGGGGGGGTGTTACGGACATTGCACTGGCCTGATTTATTCAATACATCTTCTACGGTATTTAAGGATGTTCTCCGCTGATTGTTTGATTACAGTACTTACGTGAGGAAAGAATATAAGGTTATTGTCGAAAGTATTCCGATGATGGATAGGCTTAACCCTACGTACGTGATGATCTCCAGAACAGCTACGTCGTTCTCAGAAAGCTGCGTCAAAAACAAACGAAAAAGAAGGTAATACTTTGATTTACCACACGGACCCATTTCTAGTCTGGAAGCAAGGTAAAAACAATGATGTGGATAATAATAATAATAATAATAATAATAATGAAGTCAACTAAGACAGCGAATTGAGTCAAATGATTGCAGCTGCAAATTGTTTCTTCTGAGTTGCTCTTCGAATGATCCACACGACAACCCTCTTCTGAAAACCCATCCGGACTAAAACAAAGGGATATTACAATATAAGAAATAACAGTAAATATTTTTCTTTCTCTGAGGGAACGGTAACAAATCCAGCAATCTGATTGGTTATATGTGATTCGGTGAATAACATATAAATTCAAAAACGTCGGGGCTTAAAACACTAATTAGTGTTGACTGCCTTTGTTCTGGTATTTCATAACATTTCATGACGATGATTCTAATATGAAAAATCAGGACTATCCTCCTCGCAAATGAGGGTTTAACTGATATCTCCAAGTTTTATACGCAGTTTCGGACTAAGCGAAAAAGACAGACCCGGAGTTCCAAAGCGTATTTTATAATATCTTTGTATTTACCTATTTTCTAAACCACTCCAAAACATGCAATGCTTCTCTTCTTCAACGACCTGAAAATATATTTTACATGTATTTCTATTAAATTGATCCAGCACAGCACAAAGGGAACGAGCTCATCTTTCACTGTTCTTGCCGTTGCCTGTAGGTTTTTGAACTTCAAGATTACATCTCGTCGTAATTTTTCAGGTTTAGGATTCATCGCTGCCGTCATTATTCTGGTGTTAACATACCTGTAGAGGATATATTGTTCTATGCTATCAAGTTTTCAAACCATTGCAGTGCATTTACATATAACTGCATGTAGCATACTTTATGTCATTTTTATCTTTGATATAAAACGACGATAATGAAAACTAACTTCTCTTATGATTTTTAGAGTTTGCTGTGTGATAAAGAAAACTTAACCGTCAGGAAATTTCTCCAAATGAGCTAAAAAATGGACTTTGGTCATCGCCTTCTTCATTCATTATTATGGTTCTTATTACATCGCTTAGTAGCGCTCCCCCTATTTCGATTGG